TTAGACTGTTACCTAGTTACGGTTAAACTGTTACCTGGTTACCATTTTTAGTACTCTGTGGCCTTTTTATTACCTTGTAGCTATCTGCTTGTTTTCATTGCTTTGTAGCCTTTTTATTACCTTGTAGCTATCTGATTGGTATTGACCTCCTATGCCTAAATGCAGTGATGTACATTTTTGATGTCTCAGAGATTTATTGTCCCAGCTATATGTCCCAACCTGTTCCACACTATGTCCCAAAGGTCCTATCTGTCCTATCTATGTCCCATCAGCATCCCATCAGTATCCCATCAATGTCCCATGACAACACTGCCTGAATGGATATCAAATTCTATTTTGAAAGTTGTTGGTCTTCCATAAGTATTTAGATACCTGGTTATATGTCGAGGGTGCTGGTCTTCTGTGTCTGATTTGGTTCTCAGTTCTATATTGTTGTGCTTACCTTTTGCGCCTGCTTGTTTGCCTATTAAAATGCCAAATTGTGATAAAAAAATGCGTCAGATGGTGCAGTAAATTCGCGTTTAATTTTGGCTGACATTATGTCATAATTCCAGATGATCTTTTAGAAATGTGATTTTAGGTCTCAGCTTGGCAACTTGATGGCATCATGATAGTGTTATGGAACCATTATGGATCCATCATAGAACTGTTGAGGAACTGGTAGAAAACTGGCAGGATGCCTGAGAGGTTCCATTAGTTCGCCAGTTTTATGCTAGCTTGGGTGCCGAATTATTATATCCAGGCTTCTGGCCAAAATTGTGAAATAGTGTTGGCTGAAAATAAGCGAATTAATACTGTGTCTTACTGCGTTATAGTCACATGATACTGTTCTGATACTGGAACACCCTCACATAGTTGCTTCCCTTTTAATTGCCATTTCTTGATTGCCGGTTGAGACATGAAGTGCTAAATTTACAATCCATCTATTTGCTAAAGATGTATTACAATTTATTCACCCACTTTTTGATTGCCGGTGAGACACATGTGAAGTGTTAGTGTTGTGCTATTCTTGCAATCCCACCTTTTATAGCCTGTTTGATTGTTGAGGATGAGGCACAAAGTGCTGAATTAGTTCAGGCTATATTGCTTTCATACCCTTTTTTTGTGTATTCTCCTAAGCCTTTCCGCCATCTTGTCCTCTTTCCTGCCTATCGTCGGTGATACCCCAAGTTATAATTTTTTATTTCTTTTCCTTAATATAATTCTACCTTGGGGTATCACCAAATCTATACTATATATTCCATCCTAGTTTCTAGATCTCCCCTCTCTTGATTGCTCAGGTCAATCTGTGAGAGATAGTCCCTTTCTTGACAAAATCACGTGGATATTTTTTCAAATGAATATGAGAAAAAGGATACTACTATATTTATTACTTTTGGGTATCTTCGATTACTTGGGGTATCACCACTTTGATTACTTGGAGTATCACCATTTTGATTACTTGGGGTATCACTACTTCAATTACTTTTGGATACTACTATTGGCCTAAAATAATCAAAAAGCTTTTTTCCTAAAGAAGGAGGCTAATATGGCTTTTTTATTTAAAGTTTTTGATTTTCTATATAATTTTATACTTTGTTGTCATATTATTATCATGCTTCTTGTGCAAAAAAATTTCGAACCTAATCTTGAAGAAATAAATGAAGCAATAAGGCTCTTCTTAGGTGTAGCAGACCTTGATTTTGAATCAGGCTATAATAATCATACATATTTTCAACATTTATTGGCATCTAATACTAGAGAGAATGTGGCCCTTTTAGAAGCCTATCATGCTGAAGAAATTGTTTCCAAATATATCATTCGAGTGGCAGGATCAGGCTTTACACTAATCGATCACCCATTCAAAGTTTATAGATTTCCTGATGCCCATGAATGTATTGATGGGAACCTGCCTTTGCGCCTAATTCTTGATATTGATGTGAAGCAGAAGCCTGATTCCACGAATCCTAAACTCCCTTCCTTAGATAGATATAAAATTTCTCATAATGATTTATTATCCAGAATCTTAATTGCCTGCGCTGATATCTTATACTTTGATTTAAAACATATCATAATATTAGATGCATTTACTTTGGCCAGTTCGTCTAATTCTGATAAATGTAGCTGGCATATTATATATTCTGATACCTGCTTTATTGACTATAGAAATCTCAGGGATTTTGTAAAAAAAGTTGCTGATAGAGTTGGGAAACTATACTTCGAATTTATTGACCTTGGGCTTTATAAATCACATTTTAGTTTTTAGCTTCTTAGATCAGTAAAGGAAGATAGAGTTAAAAGACCTGCGATTTCTTCAGTTAAGAAAGGATATCACAAGCTAGAAGATTATTTAGTTCAACCTAAACCAGATTATTCCAAAATCTGACCACAAACCTTTTCTCCTGAAAAGCTGAAAAAAGAAGAGTTTCAACCTATCGAAGATAAAACTTCTTTAAGCAAGGGAGCTAGTCAAGTTATCGCAAAATATGGATGGTTTGAGATTGGTAACATTAGAAAGGGATTTGTCAATTTTCAAGCTCGGTCATTGGAAGCATGTCCTATTTGTAATATCAAACACGAAAGAGATCAGTTATATGGCTTTCTTCTAAAAGATGAACGCTTTATACTTAAATGCTATCGGCAGAAACAATATAAACCTGATCATAGAGGATTGGCATTTAAAGGAGCATCAGATATAATCAAGCTAAAAGAAATACCTAAACAAAAAATTGTTGATAGAATGGCCAATGCCATATCAAATCCACTTCCACTTCCTGAACTATCTGGAAGAGTTATTAATGTAGAGGAAATGAAAGATTTCCTAGAAGCTTATCCCAATTTCTCGAGTAAAGAATCCAGTATAACTCTGATTCGCTCCCCTATGATGACAAGAAAAACAAAAGAGTTAAAAAAATATCTCAATTCCTTAATCAGGAGTAAAGCTAGTTTGCCCTGCATTCTCTGGATTTCTTACTGAAAAACTCTTAGTAATGAATTGCAGGGTAAAATTAATGATCTTAAATTATCCAAGCTCAGAATCTGTAATTATTAAGAAGAACAAAACTTATCCGTAGATAAGTGGGATATTATTATAGTTCAAGTTGAAAGTCTTTCTCATATAGAATTCTCAGCACGTCCGATTGTAGCTATTTTAGACGAAACTAATGCAATTAATCGCTAAATGAGTAGTGGTGCAAATGCATAAGAATCTGAGAATGTGATGCGTGACATACTAAAAACAGCTCAGCACGTACTTGCAATGGATGCCTTCAGAAACGAATTGACTTTAACTTTTCTTAAAACTTATCACGATGAAAATATTAGAGTGATTAATAATAAATTTCAGCCTCTTGTAGGTAAAACCGTTGAGTATCTTTATGATCCAAATAGTGGAGCTGAAGCTATGCGAATAGGATGTGAACTTTACAGCAGGGTAAGCGCATGGCATTCATTTTAACTAGTTGTAATATGGCCTAAGCATTGGTAGAAAAAGTCTCTAAATTGCAAAGGCCAGATAATTCCCTTATCAGAGCCCGTGCTTATTATAGTGATATAGACGGAAAACAATGAAAAAAGGACTTTTCAGATATAAATACTGCTTGGGGTGAACTTGATTGCATAGCCTATACAAGTACAGTAGAAGCAGGCATATTCTTTGAAAAGACTGATTACTTTGATGCAGTTATAGGCATTACAAATATTGTAACTCCAGTTAATGTTGAAGCCTTCATCTAAATGATATTTCAAATTCGTGATTGTAAGAGACGTATACTATCTCTCTATTATTAAAAAAATTCTAATAAGCTTTTTTGCCCACCAGATTATAAAAATATTCATGCTGAACTCGAGAGTGCTCGGCCTAATGATTTGCCTATAGCAATAAAAGGACATCACGAATGGGATAAAAATATTGTATTATATAAACTTGATCAGTCACCTGCCGTAATATTATACCTTGAAGTTGAACATCAGAAATGTTTTTCTGTAAAAAATTTCATTGAGATATCATGCAGTCTTATAGCTAGTACAGGTGCTTCTCTTCAGCTAATAAAAATGAATGAGAGCTGAGAAGTTATAGAAAATCGTAAAAAAGTCCGTAATAAGGTTAGGATTGGAGCATTAGTTATCAAAGAAGCAGATTTTAGCACAGTTGCTACTTCCCGAAATCTTGATTCTGAAGAAGCTGAAATTCTTAAGTTTGATCAAAAACGTTCTATTGCAGATACTATGACACTTAAATGTTTCTATATGTGGAATCTTTATAGCGGTAAAGATATGAGTACCAAAGATTGGGATAATCTTTGCAATAAGAAATTCATAGAACGTTTTAGTCCACCTGAACCTCAGAAACATTTTCTGTGCTTATCTTACTTTCAGAAGCAAGGTAGCGATGAAGATAGTGCAATAGAAAGTTTGGTTGCCAAAGACTTTATGCAATGGGAGGATACTTGTTATAAAGTTAAAGAGAATTTAGAAAAATCAGTAGCAGAGGACTTGCATAAAACTTATTCAGCTAATCATTGGAAAGTTATATAAGAACTTTTTAAGATATTGGGTTTTACCGGTATAGATGATAAGCGTATTCTTTCTGGTAGTATGGTATTAAAAGCGTTTACGCAATTCTGTGAAAGATTTATAGAAATCTGAAGTCAGTCTTTATTACTCTTTGGTTTTAAGTCCCGTGCAAAAGAAAAGCCAAATCTTAATTCAGTTATAAAAGCAATTAATGCAATTATTAGCAATTATTGTGGATATACTATAAAAAGTGAGCAGAAATTAATTGGTCCTAAGGAACAGCGAATCTGGGAGCGTTCATATCAAATTAATCGTTAATCATATAATGGCCTTAGTTTTAGAGATAAAAACACACCAGAGCTTTCACTATATAGGCTAAAGGCAGATAATGAGATCCAGAAACTCTTTGAATCTATAGGGTAGGAAAAATAATACTTCAGCCCTTTCTTAAAGTATAGCTTCTGTAGGAGATAATCTAACTATTTTGCAAAAAATTTTCTGGAATTATGGTAAGGAAGTAGCGGAAAGCTTTCTCTCCTAAAGGTCTTTGATCAAAGTATTTTTTTTGCCTTCACGCCAGATAATATTATAAATTTCACTATGTATTCTACAGATTCTGATCTTGGAATAGGTTAGCTCATTACAGATAAGACATATTTTATTAAGACGGACTTTATAGTGTCTGGCACATCCTGAAGCATGCCAGCATCCTTTTTCACAAATCGAACCATCTTTCTTGATGTATTGACAGGATAGACGATCCATACGAAGTTATTTTGATATTAATATTCTTAAAACTTTGTCTTCACTTTTATTATAAATATTTAAAAATGTGTCACATACCTTTCACGTTTAATGCTGACCAAAACTAGTCCCTTTAGGACTGCATGAGTTATATTATTATTTTTTCTTTCTTTCAACCCTCTGCTATATGGTATCCCGAAATCTATAATTGAGGAAATTTTTCGAATTGAATTTTTTCTCACATAATATAATTAGATAACAGTTACTATTGACATAGTTACTAAAGCAACCGCTCCAAAGACTCGAAAACCCAAAACTAATAATTATACTGTCATCTTAGACCAGTTCTTAAAAAAATATAACTTGACGGCTGACTCTACCTCAAAACAATTAAGTGAATATGCTTCTGAACTGAATGCTTTACTTTCTGATTGGATGGCCCACAGGTATGTTAAAGTTGTCCTTGTCAGAGCTACTGATAACAGACGTTCATTTAGTAAAAAGAAAATAGAGGCTTTTCTACCAGATAAGAGAAAAAAAACCTTACTATAAAAGGAAGGACGGAATATTGTGCTAAGACCAGTAATTTTGTAGACATTATCGCTAATCATTGGGCAGTGGGTCTAAAAAATAAAGATGAAAAGGAGATCATTACCGGTGTCTCATGTCAGTCAACATTCCATGTAAAGTTAGCAGAAGGTGGTGTAGATCCTGCAATTATTGAAGAATTTGCCAAAGACAAGGATCTTATCCAAGATTCTAATAAAATTTAAAAAGAATGAACCAAAAAGCGAATGGCTAATTCAGACAGAATTCCCATATATTTCTCCTTAACAAATGTGAGTAAAAGGATTCAGAACATAGATATTTCCAAAATTCCTACTAGAGAGAATCTCGTGGATGCGATAGTGATATTGAGTATGAGACCTGCGGAAGTAAGATCTCTTCAGATCAATTACTATAAACTGGACTCTTCGAACATTCTATCATGATATAAAGAGGGCTATTCTTGGTACTGTACAGGCTATTTAAAGAGCAGAGGAGAAAAGAAGAAGAATCCTAATCTTCGGCCATTTCTTTCTATGGAGAAGAATCCAGAACGTGCCAGGGAATTACTCACCTAGATTTGAGATGCAATTAAGGCTAAAAAGTTACGTGATCTCGTCTTTACTAAAAGTGAAACATGTAATGCTTGGCCATTTAACGAATTCTTGAAGCAAGAACCTTATAGAACTATACCTAAAAAATTAAGAGATTATGGAAGTAAATACGCTTCTAGAATTCATGGTGGTAAGAATCTAACTTCCCAGCATCTTAAATTGCTTTCGAGAATCGCATTAAGGCAAGAATCTGACCATTTTGATGCAGGTGATAATTATGTTATGGGTGATACTGAGTCAGAAGATGATAGTCCTGAATCTGACCATGAATCTGATCATGAATTTGGTTCTGTTCCTGAGGCAAATGGTTTAAAACCCCAACCTGACCCTCAAAAGTCTCAGACAATAGAAATGGATTCCATATTAGCTGAAATTGATACAATGTTAGCTAAAATTTAGAAATAAATTCCTCACTTATAGCTTTGATACTGCGGGAGATAAGCCAGTGTTTAATGAAATATTTTTTAGAGTTGATATATAAAAATAATTGGAAAGCTTTTTTTCTTCGATCAAAGATCTTCAGGAGGGATTGCTATATTTGTTTCAGTGGCTTTTATGTTTTGTGACGATCATAGCCTTAACTGGAAGTATAGTAGTCTTTTTTTATGACATATGTTTGAAAAGGGTCATAACATAAAGATAAGGTGAGATAGTCTTTTTATCTGCTATGGTAAGATCGAACAATACTAATTAATTGGTATTATACATATCTTTTCATCATTAATCCTGATTTATTCATGATCATATTCAGAAAAAGAAAAAATAAACACTGTTGAGGATATCAAGGAGTCTCTTATGAATTTTGAACGTGATATAACTAAAATACACCAAAATCTTAAAAGTATTTGTCGGGAATCTATTTTTTATATGATGCTATATCATTTTCCAAATCAACTGAGCCCAGTTCATCTGAAGAAATAGAGGAGGGGTTTCAGAGAGACCAGGTAGATGAATGCTATCAACCTAAAAAATACAAAGGTCAAGCACAGGCGAAGATCCCAGATCATAGAATAGATTAATTGAATCAGACAAACTATCAGGTATAGCTAAAAAATCAAGAAATAATTAGCGCAAAAGCGCAGGTAAGTTCACTACTAATCTCACGCAGTACTTGCCACTATGCAATCCTGTCAAATATGAGCATACATATGACAAAGCAATGAGTTTTATCACTATCAAGAATATAAGATAGGATAGAGTTATAGGCATGTTCGATTATCCTGAATTAAGTGAATATCTAGAGTCAGGTGCTCATCATTAATATTATTTTTTTTGATTAAAGATATAGTCTCATATAGAAAAGTATAGGATTTAATAGCAATTTGCATAATATGAAGCGTCAAGCTGAAAGAAGCTTAGATGACATTATAGAAGATGTGAATAAAAATATTAAAAAAGTATTTTTGGCAGGAGTTGCGCCTGAATTTTGACAAGAAGCATATATAATTGGTCTTAAATTAACATTGGATAGATTGGCACAGGAGCTAAAGTTTACGCAAAAAGATAATTGTTCTTCTAAGCCAGCCAGCCCGAAGCAGTGATCTATCAGTGAATTAGGCTCAGCTAATTTTATTTTTTGTTTAAAGATACAACATATAAAATAGAATATTTAGCCAGAGGTGCTTCGCATGATACATTCAAGTATTTTTAATTTACTGAAACTATTAGAGCAGATTCTATATTTTTTATTGATAAATAAATCCTTTCACCCTGCTCTATTTGTTAGCCGGCTTTGGTACAGATGTGGCACCCCTATCCTATGGAGGCGTATTGAGCTAAAGGGGAAAGACTTATATTCTAGGCAATCTCTTCCAAATGATTATAATTACCTTGCAAAAGATCACCCTTGATTAAATAAATTTATAAGGATAGAATGTGCAAAGGATCTCTCTCAATTGAAAAAATTCATAAAGTTAGTACGTAAGAAGCAAAAGCCAGTTTATTGTTCAAATGTAACTCATCTCGAAATATCATACTACCATTCACTTTCAGATAAAAAAATCATAAGCATTATATATTCATGCCTAAATATAGTCTATTTGAGTTTTATAAATAGCATAGGATTTAGTAATAGAGCATTAGAACTGATAGCGGATTCATACTCAAATATGAAGTATCTCAATCTGTATGATAATCAGTCAGGTGACTTTAGGAGCTTTCATGCTCGAGAAGTGGATGATGGAGATTTATGGTGAATCGCAAAGTCATGTCATAAATTAGAATATTTAAATATTACCTATCACACAGAGATTACTGAACATTCAATTTGTGGTATTATTCGTTCCTCTCTAAAGCTCTAACATCTTGACATTACCTTTTGTGAAATTATTTCTGATATGACTATCGAAGAAGTTGCTAGATCTTATCTTAATCTAAAATATCTTAATTTAAGAGGGTGTTATAATATTAGCAAAAAAGCCATAGATCAGCTTGTTTCACTTAATCCAAATATTCATATTGAGAATTACGTGAACACTTTATTGCCCCCTGATCTTATTGGAGTGGTTATAAACTATCTTATACAGAACAACGTTACTAGTAGACAGACTCTAGCCCAGGGTCTTCAGAATTTAATTCTATCTCAGATGCGCTGGTAATATAGAACTGGTAAAAGAATATTAGCCTCAGAATGGTGGTACTCTACTGATCTAACTAATCCAAGGCAATGATCATTAGTTTGGAAGATTTTTTTGCATCTAGATATGCTTTGTGTGACAAAAAAATATAGATTAGCTTACCTGTTTTAGACATGGGCACTGTCCGGTGCTAGATGGATTTTTAACGAATATTTCGTGCAATTGTTGAGAAGAGACCTTCAGAAATAATAGAAGCCCTTCTCTGGTAGAATAAAACATTTTTACTCCCTATCGATGAATTTCTGTATTAGCATACTTGGAATATCTTCTAAGAGACTGTAAAACTCCTCAAACTTTTGGAGATATACTCTTGCATTTTTATCAGCCTCTTCCGCCATTTCTTGATTAGTGTAGCCAATAATGTTAAGTTTTTCCTGAATTGCAATTATATCCTCTTCTAAATATAAAAGCAAGTTAAATATTTCCCCGTATGAAATATCGCTAGAAGCTTTATAGTTCTCAAGTTCTACCTCTAAAATAGGATTGTCTTCGATATTGAGTTCTTCCTGTATTGGTATCATATATCCCACTAAATCTAACAACAACTCATATGAATCGGCAAGTGTTATATCTTTCCTGCTTTGACGCACTGCCTCTCGGTTTGCTTTAGTATTAATACCAAGTTTTTTCTGAATAGCAATTATATCTTTCTTTTTATATAAAAACACTTCATATAATTGATCAAGAGATTCTTTCGTAAGAGTATTATTATTCACCATGATTGCTAATAGTAAAGTAATATATTTAATGTGAAAAATTTTACCGAAGATGCCTATAACCAAGTCTGAAATACTGATCGTTAATCTGGGATAGTGATCATCAGCTCAGAAGAATTTGCTAAGCTACAGATTGTATATTACTGACCTTATTTTTTCTGATTGAAAATCTCCAAATCATATAAAATGTATACAGCTAATTTACTTGATCAGCTTATACCAGAATTAATACCCTTTATTCTAAAGAATTTATCGATACAGGATCTTAAAAAATGTTATACTATAAATAATATATGGAAAGATGAGGTACTTCGAGAAATTTGCAAAAGATTAATAGTGGATTGTACATTCATTTGAGTTAAAGCAACTGTTAAAGTACTTATTGATTCCAAATCTTATCATGATAGCATTAGTAAGGCGCTTATCAAAAAAATGGATTTATATATTTCTAGAGAATATGGGTCAAGATATCCTGCAGTAAGAGACCTTGGCATTGGCGCAACAAATGCTGGCAAGAAGGTGATGAAAAGAGGATGGGTTGATAGAGAAGAAGTTTTAGTCGCTTTGCTAAATATCTTTGATGAGATAGTACCTCCTTCATATTTGGGAATAGATACAGTAAATTTTGTAGTTGTTGACAAACCTAAATATGATTTGGTTTTAGAAAGTGTATGACTAATATATACAGGATATGCTATTGATAGACATCAAAACCCACCATGATACGTTAATAAACCTAAAGAGATCGAAGAACAAGAAAGGGGAAAAAGTCAATATCGCTATAGAAAAAATCTTTGGAAATTACTTCTTTCATTGCATACATTTTATGAATTATTATTTCCTGAATTTATTGCAACAGATTCAGATGGAGAAGTCATATTGACCAAATTTTTCAAATGTTTTCATATATATATGAAAAGAAATATTAATCTAAGTGAGTATTATGATTCAGAATACACTAAAACGGAGTCATCTAACTCTGAGACTAATTCTTCTGATCCTGAAACTAGTTCAGAGGATGATATGCCTCATCTAATAATCTATAGTCAGGCTTTTTATTCTAATCCCACATTAAATGAAATTTTTGGTCAGATAGATATTAACAATTTGGATTTTAACGCAGAATGTTCTACCAATCTAACTAGTCCAGAGCTGTGATTTTCAGCTCAGAAGATTTTTGCTGGGCTACAGATTGTGCAACAAAAATAGGCTGATCACATATTAGGTCTTGTACAACATATTAATTTTTGCATATATATTCAAAAAAACATATTAACCTTTATTCTTTATTTTCCCCTAACCAAACATAAGGAAAATGTGAAAGAAGGTCTAGTTGCTACACAGGACTACCGTAAAAGTAGATATTGATAGTAAAAGCATATGTTATGAAAGGCTGAGGGAGTCACAATTTTGAGATTGTTAAGCATAAAGCTAACTATATGTCTTGCAGGGTAGATTTACATATGAAAAGGTATGAGGATTCTATTTGCATGTGCCTTCATGGAACTCTTGGTATCAGACGATAATACTAATTACACCTTATACTTCCTTAACTTCAGCTTGGCGCTCTTTTTCTCAGCAAGATATAAAGCATGTAGAAGTATGTGGAAGTTCAGCCAACCTTTTCGCAAAACATTTCCAGAGAAAATAACGTAAAATAAGGTATGTGCTGTATATGTTAGATGTTATGTATATATGGGAGGGTCCCTCTGGGACTGAGCGAGATTTTCTCATTATGATTTCTTACATTTAGGAAATAAAAATGACTTACAAGAGTATTATCAATCTTAAGTGTTGCCTCCAGAATGGTAAGGATGAAATGTTACATAATCTCACCCTGCAAAGAAGATAAGGTCGCTATGTTCGAATTTGCTGTTAAAACTCTATTAGCAAATTAAGGTTACCAATCTCTTTCCCTCAACTTCAATCTCTACATAAATGATCCTAAGGAAAATAAACTCATGGAATCAACTGAAGAGATCTCTAAATATTTTGATAAGCCTCTCGTTCTAAATCAAATTCACATTCTCATAAAACCTAAGAATAATTAGTATTTTTTATTCATATTATGCTATGTAATAGTCTTTATGTATTGTAAGCTGACTTCTGGCAACTATTTTATTTTATAAATAAAGTATTATATTATCGAACGTATATGATAAACGGGTCATGTGTAATGATACAGGACTATAAATCTAACATTTTTATCTGAATTAGTCTATATAAAAAACGTCAGGTGATAAGTGAGAAAAGTCTTCACAGTTAGAGAGGCACAGTGATTAGGTGATTGTTGCACCTATGATGCAATGTGACCGATCATACAGCAGGCTTGTGAAACAGAATAATTTCTCTGCCTCAACCAATATTCAAGGTAAGTATATCCTAAAGTTGGTCTGTTATGGATATTATAGAGGAAGTATGAGCTTCGTTATCAGCATGACTGTTATTAGTATTACATTGAGCAATTATAAAATAATGAAACAGTAAAGGTCAAAGGCTATTAAGGGATTAGAAGCGATTCACAAGCATGGCATCCTCCACAATGACATTCGGAAAGAAAACATCTTAATTAATGATAATGGCAATATTTACCTGATTGACTTCGGGATGGCAAGTTGGGAAAACCCAAAAAAGAAGAGAAAACTTTTTGAGGAGGAATACCTTAAATACACTAACTTTCTAGATAGATACAATGTGTAAGAATTTATTATTACCAAATTCCTGTATTGTGATTTCTTGTAATTCTAGTTTCCTATCATTAATAAATATGTACTTTATAACAGACATTTCGTAAAGAATGCAGGGTGAATTTCTAAGTCACGTAAATATCAGGTGGTTAGTTAATCCGTAAGATAGTCATTAGATTAAAAAAAAAATAGTTGTATATCACGGACACAGTCCTAAACATTTGTATTTATTTTTGCATGTATTAATAAAAAATTTCAACCGTAAGTCCCGGTCAAAAAACACATTTTTTTATTTTGAATACTTATATACATTGTATTAATTATATATAGATCATGTCATCTGAGCTTGAATCATTGAAACAGCATATCACTGAACTTGAGGCTGAGAATGTTAAGATTATAGCTGATTATGAGACTGAGATTGCTGTGCTTAAGGAGGAGAATGCTAAGATTTCTGAACATAAAAAGGAGAATTCTGATCTTAGAATGAAGTTCGCTAACTTTAATACTAAGAGAGCTGAACTTAAACGTAGGATTGCTGAGACTCTAAGATCGACTGAGAAAGAGAGAACGAGGTGTGTTGCTGAAGAATACTAAACTCAAGGCTAGAATTAAGGAGTTGGAATCTGAGTTTAGAGATAGACTCACGAAAGTGGAACAGAAGCAAATACTAAATGATAATACCCCTAATGATAATACTCCTAACAAAAACTCATCTAACTTTGTTTTAGCACCTTCGGCTAATTCAGGTATGATCCATTATGAAAAACCATTAGAGGAGAAAGAAATGGATAGTTTCTTGCTTGAGACTCATAAGAAAATTGTTAGTAGTGAAATAAAGCAACGCAATAAGAAAAAGAAACTTAGCAAAGCAGAGCAAGCATCTCTTAACCAAGATTAAGAATCTGACACTGAGTGCTCTACTTCTGAAAAGATACCGGAGGTATCGAATCCCGTAACTAAAATTTTAGCCAGGACTTCTGGCCAAAATAGCCATAGGAAGAAAGGTGCAGAAAACATCATACAATTGATAGCTGATGGTATTAAAGATGATGCCCAATCGAGCGACAAAACCATTCCTTGCGATGTGATTTCAATTGAAAGCCTTAACCAAAATTCATCTACAGATTCATTGCTTTCTCTAGCACAATTATTCGATAAAGCAGATGATATTGAATATGGCGTAATTCATGCTAATCAGGAAGAGATTCTGCGCTGGTATTATTATGGAAAGGAATTTTTAACCCAGGTTACTGTGATTGTATAAGATGGAAAAGGAAAAATAGGCGAAAAAAAGGCAAAGGGAATAATCTATGATAAAATGTTGGAACACCTATCTATGTTGTGAAAGCAATGATCTGAAGATACAGGATTACGTCTTTCAGAAATCTCCCGTAAAAACTTATAAAGGAAAACTCAGAAAGCTGTAAAGATATATAAAATATTTGAAAAGGTAGGCGTAGAGAATATTAAGTATATTACTACATATAGTGCGAACTCTATTTCTGAGTCGACTAATGATAAAGTTCAAGATATTATAGAGGCTTCAAAAAGGCAGGATAATTTATCTGAGCATATTAATAACGATAACACTGATGTGAAAGAAGTACTAACCAATATAGTTAGGATTTCAGCTGGGGGTTCCAGTCAAAATCATGTAACCAAAAATCCTGAAACCAAAGAAAGATTTATAAATGCTTCACTGACTTTGGAATCAACTGAGGTTAATACATCAGCAAATGTATTATCTGCATCTCAATCTAAGCCTGATCATTCCTATTTTTACAACAAGATATTGGATCAATATCCTAATCTATATAGAAAATGTAGTATTGAAAATTTTGACTATTATGGGATTACTGATAAAACAACATGCTGGGACTATATCTGCCCATTATGCAAATTAGGTCATGATGATGAAGAAATAGAAGATAGGTATAAAGCAGGATCTTACTTTATTAAATGTGAACAGCGTGAAATTGAGATAGTTGCATAGTCTCATTGCTTTACAATAGTCTGGGAATTTTAATCTTTTTTTTCGAATGAATAGGTCTATATGAGAAAAAGGATTTAAATTGTTTGCAGACATATAAAAAGGAAAATGACTAAGTCTGATAAAATACTAACCCCCGAATATCTAGACTGGCATGCCAAATTAAGTAGGTTACCAAGCATTTTGACGGATAAGATTCGTTTCAAATTATACAAAAGATATAAAAAACAAACTGGAAATGAGCTATGACAATTATCAGAAGCTGTGATAAATATATTAGCAGAACCAGTCCCTTGCCCTGAGCGCTTTCAGCTGGAACTACCTTAAGCCTCTGATTTCAAGCCTATCACCTTCGAAGCCAAACCTGATCCAGAATCAATTATCCAGTCAGTCTTAAAGCATTTCCCATACTTGAAATTCTAAAATAGTTTCAGGGGGATTGATAATTATGATTTTACAACACCTCAGCTGTAGAGCTCACCATGCTCTATTTGTAATGGAAAATATGGGAATTATAGATTACATAGCTCATGGTATCACAAAAATGGGAATCAACTCTCTTATGATCCTGAATTAGCGAAGTTATATTCTCAAGATAAGTTGGAATATTGTCTTACCTGCAACACTTTAAGCAATAAACTCAAGTTCGCAATTGTAGTATAGTTCGATCATGTACTCATGTAAGAGATTATTACTGAAATGCACAGTACAATAAGAATAGGAGCTGTATGATGTAAGATTATCTGGATTCTATTACCAGCACAAAAGTCCTTTTTTCAAGAGGTGTGTTACATATCTACTATTTTGGTACCCCCTTAATCTATATATAAGTCGTCTCTACAGGTGTAGCATGATGGAAGTTTATGTTTATTGATTGATTATAAAATAGAACAAATCGAACATGATTGGCTAATTTATATCATATTATATAAATTTATTAGTAACGGTAATACAAAATCGATACAATATAAAAATTTTATTTCTCGTTACAAAAAAAAAATTTTTTTAAATAATATATTTTTCATATCCTAACAGACCATTTAAAACTTTTAGATCAAGTTAAATCGAGTATTTAAAGGTAGTTTGCTTATACGTGTAAATGTAACAGAAATATATTTTTTTTGTATAATATTTTTATTT